CTCCTTCAGTGGGGAAATGCCTAGCTCCAGAAATGAAATGTAACAGTCAAAATTTGACACTTCATCGGAACATGGCTGCCAAATACAAATGATCGTGAGATATTCGGCATAGTTCATATAACCTGAAAATTTATTTTTTTAAAGCTCGCGCGCCAGTTGAACAACATTTCGACAAAGCAATTTCAAAATGTTACTCCTATCCATTGCAAAATTGATGAGCAAAAATGTTGAAAGCCATCTGCGATTTCTGACCACCCATTGTCTAACCCAATTTGAAAATTCAACGACCCGTTAGGTTAGATCATGTATATCCTGACCTTTTAAAATGGACGATTATCATGAGCGGATTCAGATTTCAAACCATAAACGTCGAACAGGACTTACAAGACAAACGGCATTACACAACTGATTGGTTGAATGAGTTCAACCCTTGCTATCTTTTTATTTTTCTAGAACGAATCGTACATTTGACCTCGAAAATTCGAGCCCCTCTATGTCAAATGCCTCCCAATGTCAATTTTTTTTCAGGTCCCTGTCTCACTTCCCTCAGAAACAATGCATTAAAAACCTCTCTAACCCGATGACTTTCTCCCTCAAACCTCTATAGCTCAAATTTTCTGGAGGTCTTCTCGTGATTATTTTATTGACACAGGAAAGAGAAGCGCGATAAAATGTAATTTGATGTGTTTTTTGAAAAGAAGTTTAAGACTAATAGAGCAAATGAATTCTTGCCTTCAACTTCACCATCCCATCAGCTCATTCAAGAATAAATTTAAGGCTCAGAAAATCACCAATTACAATTTCCGGTAATTTTTCTTTCTTGCTTCCCCCAATAACAATAACGCAATGCTTTTTTCCACAACTCAAACCAAAGTAAGGCGAACTTCTTTTTTTTTTTTTGGCTGGTCCCTTGAAGTCTAATTCGAAGAGTTTCGACTATAAAAGGTCGTCGAGAAGATATTTCATCAGAAATACAGCACATGACACTGAGTCTTGACAAACCGGTTCGCGGCAACGGGTCGTGGTGTCGTGACACCCAAGTGCTGCTGCTGTCACTCCTCCTCCGCGTGCGAATGGCCTTCCCGACATCGCGGCTTGCTCAACCGCTTTTGCTTGCCTTACTTCCACCACTCTCGATGATGCCCCGAATCTCCGGGAGAAATTCTCGGTCACGTCATCACGCCATCTCGTAATCAAGCCGTATCGATGGATGGAAGGTACCCGGGGAAACACTGGGAGTCAACTTCAAGCGAGAGGATTCCGCGATAAACCGCACTGTTCCGTGCTACTGATGGAGAAAGTCCCGGTGCATCTTTTTTTTCCCCTCCCCGTTTAATTGCATGGAGGTGGCGAACCCATATTTTATTCAACACAAACTGAAAGCTTTGAAATACAATGGCCAGTATAACAACGGATTATGAACGAGGGAAAGTTCGTTAAGTTTTCTCTGTAGCTGATGAAGTACCCAATCACTGAGAGAAAAAAAAATGTTCTCCTGCCACCCTTCCATTTACAAAATTCGTAGGCAGTCTGAGCGCAACCAAACACAGTATTCTGAACAGTAGAAGATCTACTTGGTTATGCAAAAAATCTGATGATCGTTTTCAGATATAAAACGCGCAGCATTTTTTTTTCAAGTGGAATGCGACGGTCCCACCAAAATTTTAATTTGCGATAAGGAAATGGCTCAAGTTTGGGCTGCAATTTAAAAAATTATAGTAGATTAAAAAATTAATCTAAAAAACCACGTTTTTCATATCCTCCGTGCCCCCCCCCCCCCCCCCCCCCCCGAGACTTTTTCCTCACCGAATTCCCAAACGTACGCAATCTTCACTCCTTTCATTCGAGGGGAACGGTTCTCACCCAACAGCAGCACTCCGAGGGGGTTTTATAAGTCTTTTCATGACAAAACCGCAGATCACAAAGGGGGGCCTTTCGTGTAATGGAGTCCCAATTTCCTCGCCTTGATGACCGCGACGCGCTGAACAAACATCAAAGACAATGCAGCTGGGATCATCAGCAAGACGTGAATGGAGATCCAAGAATATGAGGAAAATTGCGCAATGGACGTTGGGCTTCAGCAGTGTGCACAAAGAGGAAATAAGGCCGAATCCACATTTTTCGTTCACATGGCAAATCTAAGGACGATTTTCATATCTCTCGATTTAAAAAATTAATAACTCTGAGAAGCTGAATTGAAAAACTCACGCGTGCATAAATCTAATATCTTCCTTCGTTCTCTATGTGACGATAACCCGCGCAGCAAATGTTCTCGAGATTTTTTCCTAGATGTTGCCACCGTGAGGTTCAAATTAATTATTTTGCGTAAAAAAGTACTGTATTCATTCAAATTTGTCTTTTCTCATGAAAACGCCGATACGACGTCGAGCCATGATTAGCTCTCGATTTCTGTTTCTTATTTTTTTTAACAAATGCCGGGAATTCAAATCCTTGGATTCCCTCCGATTGCCTAGGTTTTCATTCGAACCTGGCAAAATTAGTAATTGATATTCGGAAAAAACATTACGGTCATGGATTTTAAAAATATTAGCGTTCTAATTTAATTCCAACAGTTGTGTTTCTCGGGGGAACTCGTTTGATACGGAGATGTGAAGCAACATATCTAACTATGACTCTACGAGCGTTTAAATGAACTGCCGCATCAATAATTCAACCGAATCATGTCATGCCGGTACTTGTCAGATGAGATGCATTGGCAGCCATGGTCATGATAGTAATCTTTCGTATTTTTTCAAATCAAGTTCATGTCCGCGAAAAAATGCATTTTATGACAGGCGTCTTTGGAAATACTGTATTGTATACGGTTTCTTCATAAGTTTAAGTCTTTGTGTTTTCCTCGTCGTCGGATAGAAATAAATTAAATTTTAGATTATTTTTAGGATCGTTGGTCGAATTATTGGTCAACTAGTCTTATATTTATAGAGAGAATACGGAGAGTTTGAAATGTTATGAAATAAGATTCATGTGTGAAACGCTAATTTTGACAGGAATTCGCGAGCAATGAACCACTGCAGCAAAATTCTTCGAAGTGTCGAAGTCCCAAATCCAAAAGTCAGGTTTCAATCATAGAATGATTTGATTTCGGCGATCTTTGCATTATTGATCCTGGAAGCGAAACTTAACAAAAATCGCAAGCCAGAAGTTGTAACGTGAAGAAGGAAATTCGAAAAAAAAAGTCTGAACTTATGAATAGAGGCTTGCTTCAAAAATTCGACATTGATTCCTTAGTGTTTTGGAGAATTCTGACAGAGAAAACTGCCTGCTTGCATAACTTGACCAAAAATTGCTGAAAAAAAAACTATCGAATAATCACTGGCAATAACTTTAAAAAAGCTTTGAAACCCACCACAAGGAAAATTATCAAGCATCTTACGTTACACAAATTTGAATTAGTCAGGGAACCAGAAAATCATCCAAGGGATTCCCAGTTTTCTAGACTCGAGCAACGCACGAAGAAGCCATTCTTTTCTTTCCCCTCGATTGACATACTCAATAACGAATTCGCTAAGTGATTAATTGATGGGCGAAAGGCAATCAATCAATTCTCCACCGCTTCTCACTTTCGACTCCAGTGACAAAAGGCGGAGATCGATTCCACGCTGCTCGACAGCTGTTTTGTTTCAGACCAGACGTAATACACAGTTTTCTCTTTCGCTCTTCCCTCTAGTGTTGTGTCTCCGTCAATCGCACAACCTCTCGCCGACAAGCATGCCGGAAAGCGAAAGTTATTCCATTCAGGATCGAACGAACGCTTTCTCACTGGCTGGAATGCCGGGGCAAAATATTACACGGTTTTACCGAAACGATAACTCTGGTCAATAGGTCTGACGGAGGAAAAATGATTCACGAAGCTCCATCACGCTTCCGATGAGCGAACGCACGAAACTGTTCGTTTCCGGGCCCAGAAAGAAAAAAAAAAAGACTCAGTCCACTCCGACCAGGTCATCTATTGCCTTCTTTTTGTTTCTCCGGTCATGTTTGCGGGGCAGTTGAGGAAACCGCGGGAAAAGCACAGTGATTAACAAAAGCTCACAATTATGTCTTCAGCAGGGAGAAAGTCCGCCATCAGGCCTTATCATCACGCCACATTTGGCGCTTGTCCCTTCGAGGTAAAAATCGGGGGGAATGCAAGAATAAACACCGCATTTAACGTATATTAAATACTTGGAACCGCAAAATGAACTTTCTTCGTGGTGGAAGGTACAGTGAATAATGTTTTCCGTTGATCACACGAAAATCCATTTTCTCCGTTTACGCGTCACGTTCAGAGAATTTCGCTCGAAGCAGTTGGACGAAGTTCACCCTGAAGTACTGTTCTGAGCTTCGCATGCATTCAGCGCATATACACCCATATTCGCACTTTTCGTGGTTAAATTGCCAGGCTTAATTACACGGAACGCTCAGAGGTTATTCCAAGTGCATTCAGCTGCTGAAGTGTGAAACATTTTTCATCATTTCGAGCGGATTTAAAAGTTTATTGCTCGCAATTCCAACACTTTCTCCTTTGCTTGAACACGGTTTTTTTTTAACGTTCTCTACGTTCTTCTGACACAACGGAGTAATCGCATATCCATATTTACTCGAATAGGTTATTTGAACTACTATATCACCAAAATTGGCAATCAATGATCAAAACACATTTCATTATCAATGGACTTTTTCATTACAATCGATGAAGCATCAGGTTTGCATATAAACCTCTGAATATCATTTCAAACTTTTGAATTACACTGTAAATAAAATCGTGCACGTCCTGACTTGGTTTTTCTATTACTTGATGATGATAACCGAATATTTCACAGAGAAGGCAATAAACAATGAATTACGCTGCTTCGTCTCTCTTCAAGTTTCAAAATATTCGTATTCAACAGGCATCCTCTGACATTGAGAAGAAATTGAAGTTTGTATAGCACAGCTCTTAGTTTGCGAGATGTCAACAGATATATAACTTACTGCACTGTATATGAAAACGAGTGAATTTAAGAATTCCATTCTTCGTACAAAAAAAGGCTCCTTGGAACCGATGGTGTCTTGTATCCTAGTAAATGCGGGATATCTTTCGCAAAACGAAAAAAATGGAATACTCACTTTTGGCATGACTGCGATGCGCATCGTCGTAAATGGCATACTCTGGTTCGGTTGCTACTGCCGGCGATGAACTCTCGAAAGTCAAATCCGGAACGCTTGACTTCTTATCTGTGAACACACGCAAATAAAAAAAAAGTCGAGAAAAGATTATTGAAAGCAGTCTGGTGATATTAAAAGGCACGGTGAGGTACGATCGGAAAGAAGCAAGGTAAAAAATACATAAAATAAAGTATATACACCGGGCTTATTTAAACCGGAAACTTGACTCACAGGCGTCGAGTGCGATATAAAAAGTCATCTCCTCCAGACCCCCTCGTCGGGCATACTGAATCAATTCATCGCGCACAGAACCGAGCAAAAAAAAAAGGCGGGCACTTCGCGCAAAAAATCGCCTCAAATCCAACCAAGAGGACGTTGAACTTCGGCAATTGTCAAAACACGACCGGTCTGCAGGGAGAACCGAAGCCACGAGAGAATTTCTTCTTTTTTCCCTCGCAGCATTCGGTGAGTGGAGTACACTGGAGCAAAAAAGCACCGGAACCACTCACTGTAGGCCTCCTCGCGGTAGCAATTTCCACGCAAATAAGACGAGCAATATATTCTGTTCGATACACGATTCTTGAGACAAAAACAATAAAAATTAGAAGAAGAAAAAAAAAATCGTATTGCAGGAATACGCTTTAAAGTTCTCGCAACGCAACGGTTCCTTTGTTCTGCATCTCCATAACTGGGACTACTCCTAGTAAAAAAAGAAACTTTTCCGTTGCTTTCAAACGAAAGCATCAATCTCGGAATAGGGTATCGTATTTTTCGTTTCCTCGGCAGCCCAAAACAAAGATACAGTTTCGCATAAACTCGTTATCGATCTTCAGCATTACGGGGTTATCAAGTCAGATGAAATCCGAATTTCCAACCGAGGCAACGAAAATACTAGACGATAAAATCCACGCTCTGTAATTATTTTGACTTGACCTGCATTTCCGACGTTAGAGAAACTTGGCAATAAATACGATGAACGTGGAATATTCATTCCATTCTTGCATAAAAAAGAGTGAATAAAAACTGACACACGGAGATTAATTATTCGCCAGTACTTGCGAATAAAGTGGTCCAGAAGCACCATTCATCTAATTCGATACCCACGATTTGACCGGCGTGAAAGGATAATTTAAAAATTAGCTAAAATCCTATAAACAAAGGAGAAAGACTATTTTTTCACAATGATAGTACAGTAACATGATTACGAAACACAAGCAAGAACATTTAATTGATATTTTTCTCAAATGAGCCTCCTTCGAATCCAGCACAACAAACAAAAAAGCAGCTGCAGGAATGTAACCCGACTGCTGGAATGTGATACTCAGGGAAGCTGGGTATAATTTTGGAGATGAAAAGGCTGGTTCTAAAGGTAGAAGCAGAATTTCAAAGCAAGGCGATCATCACATTCTTGACTCGATTCCAAAGAGCCGGGAAAAATTCGCCTTCCACTCAAAGTGCGTGGCAACCATTCCCAAACTTTCAACACTTTACCGTCAAAAAGCACTTTTTTGAAATATTCCGGGGACGTTTGAGCAGCAACAACAACAACAAAAAAACCAGCTCCAACATGAAAAAGGAAATGTCTTCCCTGAACCATGCATAAAACTAATGCGGTGGGAACACGAACAACAAAAGCAAGGACAGGCCACCAGCCACCGCCTCAGTCGCAAACTAAAACTTTTAAAACGCGTCAGACATTCACCGACGCTTCAGCGTGCCATACGCTCAGCCGCCACAAGCACCGGAGTTACCCCAAGCGCGACACAAAAAGTCACTCATCCTCAAGCACCGACACCCTCGAGTGCCGCAAGCCGTTTCGGCACGGCTGGCATGCTGCTCGTGCGACAGCAAAAACGGATCTGCCACCGGGGCCACTCACCCCAAAGCCCAGGGCAGCACCGACACTAAAATGACTGCTCCTCTCAAGGCAACGTCGTTCATGCACCACATCACATTACGCGACCCAGGGACCAACGCAAAAACACACACACATACACCTTCCCACATTCTCGAACTGCTAACATGCAGACCCGCATTCGACGCACTCGGGGGTCGAATGTGACTAACACGACACGAAACCATTACTCCCGGTGGTGGCTAACGGGGGTGCGCAGGAAGAGAAGGAAGAGGGCAAGGCACTGAAAATATCCCCCCCGAGGAAAATAACCGCCGCAGTGGTGGGTGATAATGGGCTCATAATATCTTTTGTGTATTCTGGCATGCTTTGCTCTACTCCAAACTCAGGTAATTCATCGTTAAAACTGTCCCAACCCATGGTTTTAACAATTTTTCAGACGAGCCGCCAGTGCAGCAATGGAAACCCAACCAGCCTAATGCAACTAACATGATTAGCCTAAACTAGAACAACAACGAGCAACTTCTAAATCAAAACGAACCCCGAACGAACGCGTGGAAAGACAGCCCTAAATTCGAATAAAGTAAACCATTGCCGAACCACTCAATGTGACACTTATCTAACCCGACCTTTCATTATGAAAAAAAAACCCCGAAGAACAGTACATTACTTTATAACTAACCTATGCAAGCACGTCATTCGACTAGAAGGACTCAGAAGACAAAACAAACCAAATCGAACCTACCCTCATCCACCTGACTGAATCGTGCCGTCTCTATCTCATAAGAAGGTGAACAGATGACGCAAGAATTCAGAAGCACTTCGAGGGCTGCTTCAGGAAGTAAAAAACTCGAACAGTCATCTCATAATCTTGAAGTGCCGATTATAGTATCTTCGAGAAAGAAAGAAAAACTTCCCAAGCCTTTGAAGATACATATCAACACGCTCTTAAATCTAGTCAATGTTACTGACGACAAAATTCAATACATCGGTTGCATAAGATGGATTCAACTGAGTTTCCTTGAAGGGAATCCTCGGTGGATCCTTTAAAGAAAGTAGCTCTTCGGCTCTTGGCCCCCGATGCTGGGAAGAAGAAATCATGTGCCATTTATGTGAGGCATAATAGGTGAAAACATTCTTTGGTACACCACGTGGAATTAATCGCAAATTTTAAAATTGAAACGACAGATAGTGAGACACCAAACCGTCCCAAGGAAACCTAAATTCTCCAGGAGAAGCTAATCGAGCAAAATTTGGATGAGGCCCATCGTCTCGGGATTCCCCGACCAATGGACTGGGTCGTCTCGTCTTTACCTTCCCCACAAACACACACACAGACCGTCCGGACTTCCTCGTTTTCTTCCTGCTTGAAACGCAGGCTGCAAAAATGAGACGAGTGCGAGAGAGAAAGAGAGATAACGGAAGTGAAGACGAACTCACTGGGTTCGGGTTCCTCGCCGACAAGAAAAACAACGCCGACCCAGAGATAATGAATGCGAAAACGAGGAGGGCTTTCGCAGCGGGCGAGTACAGTTTCGTTTCGTTTCTTTTCGTTCGTTCCGCAAAAATGCCGAAATCATTTCCCACAGTCTCGCAAAACTCACAGTCCATGGCTAACGGCGGGGAAGGATGCGAGGCGCAACGAAGGCCATCTTGCCTTCGTTTCTTTCGGGAAAGCAAAAGTTATTCGTCATTTATTTCACGCACTTCTGCACAAAAAATTCAGAAAACACCAAGCTGGCATTTTCCTCCAGAATATCTTTACGAATTGCACAAAACCAGTCCAGTCTCAAGCTCTTCCCTCTGGCATGACGAACACGGTGAGAAGCCGTACTATGATTATGTACTGTACATATTGCGATATTCGATGCATTATGACATTCTCCCCACGAGTATTGCATTTCTGACCCCGGAAGATCTTCTCATATATTATGCGTGTGTTTTCTACAACGATGCTACAAAAGTTTCCAGCATACTTTTCTGTATAACTACAGTATTTTCTGGTCAACCGAGTATCGGTTGACTTATCGATAGCAGTTCGAGCAGAGAGAAAGTCCATCTGCATTTGTATCACTATTTAAATTGAATATCTGTAAAGCATAATGCACATATTCACGCCTGGAAATGTCACTTGAAACATCTTTGAAGCGAATTAGACTCGGACACTTTCAAAAGATTTTCTGAGTCTTCTCTAAAACGCATTAAGATGGCGGTACACTCTACTCAAAATTCGGCGAATATTTCTGCGAAAGCTCAAAAATAAAGTTCTAAACTTTCTCAGGGGAAAACTATTAACAAGTTACAGTAATGCAAAAAAATGCGTCTCCCATAATAAAAAATGACACTTTTTGTAAGTTCGCATGGCAAAATATCAGTAATGCACATCAACATTACGTTCTTTCCGCACAGAAATGCTACTGCAATTTTAAGCAGGCTCAGAGGATATTTATATTACAAGGCACAGTCATTGAAAGAAAACAAATAGACTATTAGAAACTTTTCCTCCTTTATTCAAAGATGCAAATCGCAGTTTCAAAGACTCTTGACCTCAATGGGAAACTCGAACCTGTCGTTCAGCTTGATTACCCAGTACGACGGCAAGGAAAATGACAAAAGAAAAACCAAAACCAACCAAGTGGCATACAGTACTGTACTTTGAAGTAACATGCATTCCAGATGAAATTCAAAAACCATGGGAGAAAGGCAAGCCTCTTCCATGAGCGTCAACCTGCATGGATCCCATCCCATCCCGTACGCGAGAACGATCTAGCAAACACGGCGCCGAAGTTCCGCGGAATTTTTTCTCCGACAGTTACGTCGAAAAAGTTTCCAACTCGCTTCTCGACAACACGCAGGCTTTTTTTCTTTCTTTGCGTTTCTCATTCTGCTGGTTAAAGCGGCGATTTTTCACACAACTTGGCCGCAACCAGCTACCGAGACTCGAGAACCCTCCAGAGTGCAGTACTTGGCTCCTTGCCGTCCGCCAGTCAACGCAATCCCCGCAACGCCGCAAATGACACGTCCCAACGACAAACGGAAGTCGTGGGGCGAAAGATATCTTCAAAGGGGTTCCTCTAATCTTCGCTGAATATCTAAATCTCGAAACTGAAACTGGATCAGATAAACCATAGGTTTTCCAACCTTTTTGAATCGCTAGAAGAGCCCTGCAAACAAATGATCGTTTTTCTAATAACGTGTAAGAACGCAGTAGTCTTTTCAACGTCGTTTTTCTTCCCCCTCGACGACGACTTCGCGAGTCTATTGAGATAATTTTTTTTCCATGCGCGAATGCGAACGAGATCGGCTATTGCTTCTCATTCGTCCATTTCAGGTATTTTCTTTCAATTTCTCGGAAAAGAGTCACGAAGCCACAGGGAACTCGAGAATTCAGACGTAGCTCCAGG